GAGAATAGAGAAGGGTATGGACTCAGTGGAATGATTCCCCAGGGAACACTATCAAGAATAGTCTGCCCGCATCTTTAGACGGCCTTAGGGTAGAATGCAATCAGTGTGAGTGACTGAACATCATTCGCAAAAATCACCAAAAATGAGTCCAGCATACAGGAAGGACTAGCTAGACGATCCGGTTAGGACGTCACAGCAAACGTGCCATTTCACATTGGGTTACCAGCCAAACGCAAGCAGAAGCAAGTGGACCACACCGAATAAGGTGTAATGATATCGCAGCAGTCATCTTGACCGGTGGAACTTCCATTCTGCCCTGCCGCGTCATGGCCTGTCCTCTACGAACCTCTTGTCAGGCTGGTCAGGCATACGTAGTCCGTGACTCAACCACACTAATCCGTCACAACACCGTCACGGCTCTGTTGAGATAAATAAACCTATCGACTAACTCAAGCTCTTCATTCTGAGAGCGCAGCGTTGTGGGAAACACAGGAGTGAGATCTGAGCATGCAAAGAGCATGAAGAAAATATGAGACCATTTTCGATATCCTACTTAAAGCAGCATATTAAAGCGTATGATTGTCAACTGAAAGAAGGGTGTCATCCACAAGAGCCAGGTCAACCAACACCCTCCGAGGAATCACCCAGTGCCCTTGGGAATGCAGACCACTATATTACCGACGACGTTGGACAAAGATGATAGAGTAATATTGGCTAACTCTTCTAGTTTTGCAAGGCTCTTGAACAGCCTAGTGTAAAAGTCTAGAAATTTAAGAAAAAACTTTGAGGGCATCTACCTCTCTGACCAAACATTCAAAAGAGTCTATCTATCCGCAGGGCCAAAGACACCTTTAAAACCGAGGGAAATTACCATTGTTGGTCGGCGGTGTGTTGTACCGCTCAGGAACTCTATGTATGTGATAGCCGATTAGTCTCCTATCAAGTAGAAGCCCCACGGACGGAAGTTGACCACTGAAACAGCCGTGTTATGACAGACTGTAGTTGGAACAGTCGGTTTGGGTACCATCATTGACTGGAGATGCTAAAACTGATTAATCCGATTCCCTGGAACACACGTTCTTCCCCAAAACTCCATACAGCAGAACATGAAGGTTCACGTACATCTCTGGTGAAAACCCATCTGGTTCAGTTGCCCGAAGGTGCTTCAAGGCGAAAGAGCATGATAGTATTCCGGAAATTAACGGGCCACAGAGTAAAAACGAGCGAGTCAGATGAATGGAATTGGCACACGATTAAACTGCTGTTGAAAATATAGCACCTAGCGGACCTGGATGCTGATTTTTTTACATATTAGGTATCTAACGTCGCCTTTGACTAATTCGCCACCAGAGACAGCCTAGGTGTACTCTCGGTTGCCTTGCCTCTTTCATTCCTTTCTAGTTACACCACAATTCTGTCCCCAAGCAATTTACGTTTGAGTAGCCGATCGTCTAACTGGATTACGCTCTGACCCTGAAGGGACACAAAGCCTTGCATCACGTGACCGTTCTGAGACTCATTGGTTTTCTTGTACAGAAAATTTCGAGCGTCGTTTAGAGCCAAGGTCATCTCATTCCAGCTATGGTCCTGCGAGAAGGCTGCTTGTAAAACATTGCATCTTTCTTACTGCAGAGCTCGAAGGGCTTCTGGAGAGCCAGTTTCTTGGGTCTGCCGGGCAAATTCAAAGAAAATCCACAATGAACGAGAGCGTAATCTGAATCAATCTGTACATTCCAGACTGGTCAGCTGTCAAGAAGTGAACCACAACATCGGTAGCTGATGACTGATCAAGAACAATTTGACTGCAAGGTTGCTCAGCAGCAATAGGACATCAGGCAACGCAACGGCACCCACTGTGTGCCAACACAGTGCTCCTGAGAAAAAAGTCGTCCACTCTTTCGGTGCCTAGCTGGCGTGCCGCCAGAATAAAGCATGAGGGCTAGGATACTTCCAGGTTGCCCAAGTCCAGACAGAAGTCCAGAGGAAGAGGTTGGGTTCGAACCACGGACCTTCCGGTCAGTAAATTTGCGCTCTAACTACTGAGCCATCTCGCTAGTGACAAACAGCTGGTGAACAGTACAGAGCTACAAAGGGCACTCTCCATTAACACTACTACACACCATCGAGGCGTTCTTCCAATGAACTACTGTGCGTTGAAGTCTTCTTCCAACTGGACACAACAGGTTGGCTAGTCAGCGAGACAGGCATAGAAAGAATTAGGCATGTGTAATGTGAGCCCTGAAGCGTCATCCTAACGACTTTTAAACAACAGAAGGTCAGGCACCGCACCTGCTGAAGTGTAGACGAGGAACAAGAGTTTACTAACGGAAACACTAAATGAACTGCTCACAAAATTTTAACGAAATCAGACGAAGCCAGAGTTACGTTTGCTAATCTGCTAGTACCAATTCAACAGTCTAGACAAAACAATGCGATCATTCCTTTCGTGCTATTCAGCCGTGGGTTGTGTGTACAAATGTACTAAAAACAGGGGTGAACATACAGGCAATTACAGGTGCACGTGATCAGAACCAACGGCTAGCGAGCTCCAATGGATGAGGCCTTGTGGAGCAGTATGGGGGAGGAGTCTCTTCTGTCTAATCAGTACATTTTCCCATCACTATCAGAGACAGAAAAATCAGTGTTGACACAGATGTTTCGCTACCGTGAGGCCACAAAGTTTATCTAACTACATACAAAATCTTACGCAAAAGAAGAGAAAAGCGTGGAAGAAGGAGGGACCTGGTGCTAACCTATGGTAGGCGTTCTGAGGTGTCTATACCTCCACGTTCTCGAACAGACACTCTGGAAAGAAAATAACAGCACGAAAACCAGTTGCATCCATCAGCCGTCATTGCTTGCAGTTTCTAGAAAGGTACAGAGGTAGGTGATCCACAGCGACAAGGAGAACAAAACTCGTCTCAGTGGATAGTGTGTCGGCATGCTTATTAAATGGCCTAGCCGCCGCAGTTGATGGTGATCGATGTTTTCTGCGACCAGGGTATCTGATGCATCAAATACATGTTTTGTAATTACTTCGTTACGAATTCGTCGACGCCACCTGACACCAATAACACTTCTGAGACATCGATGGTCAGAAAACCGAAGGTGCTTCACATCTGTCCACAGAAGCCATGTCTCGCAACCATACAACATTACAGCGCTGCGGGTACCCGGTACTCGAATTCAAGACTGGGTCTCATCGAGTAGGCTGCGGACGCGAAGACGAAGCAATTTCTATCCCCTGACATCTGACGGATACTGGTCTGTCCTGCCGATATGGATTTATGAGCATCAACTGAAGCTGGCACCTTCCAAAGGTTGGCCGAACCAAGCGCAGTTGCTCAGCTGCAGCACCCTTTCGGTGCCCAGCTGCCACGTCAGCAGAAGGAAACACGAGAGCTGGGATACTGCCAAGTTGCCCAAGCCTAGACAGGAGAAGTCGAGAGGCAGGAGTCGGGTTCGAACCACGGACCCCCAATCAGTAAGTTATATCCTTAACAACTGAGCCATTTCGCCCCCTGCGCAGTTGCGCATCATTATGGAGCCCCTTTCGGCACTGAATTCAACTTTTAACCGATGTCCTCAAATAACTGGTCACCTTTGAACTGTAGTAAATGAACTACTTCCCTTGCGGCTTTCTGCACAGTGAGCTTTAGAAGGAGAGTTTCATTGGGTCATTCTGAGTAGCCGTAGGCTAATCATCTTGTTCACTTATCTAGGCCATATATGCATCTCGCCCTGAACAGAGTTTTGACTAGTCCGCGTTCGCCAGGAAAATCGGTACAAAGCTAGAACAATGTCAACATTAACCGCTCCGCATGGACTTCTGAGAAACCGAAGGCAGAGAGAGAACCACGTGTTAAGAAGGACGAGCTTGAATATGACTGAGTCACTTGAGACACACCACTACTAAGGAAAGTCACGAAAATACCATCAATATGGTGCGTTCTATTTCACTCCAACCCACGCGCCTACGCGGTGGATATGACATCAAGCTGTCTGTGAAAGATGGAGTATACAACGCGGCAGTGTCTACTGTAGCTTTACGGCTGCTTTACATCTGCCACTGGAATATCACTTACTTTTACTACTGGGGTCTTTTTGCGAGAGGAATATGGGATAGACTATTCCGAAACAAAGCAACTGCTCACCCGGTCAATGATCTGATTATGCCACAATAACTACACATAATTTGCATGTTAGGTGAACAGTTCCCTCCTTGTGTTCCGTTTGCTCAGACTAGGGATACCGAAAGATCGGAAAAGTATGACCCAGATACAACACCCGAAAAACATGAGCTACCACATGTCGTCCGCGAAGTCGGAGTACAAGAACCTTCGGTAATCACCGACAGGCTTTCTGTACCCGTGATCGCCTCTTCATCCCACACTATCCCATGCCACAAACTACGGCGACCCGGACGACTACACATACGTACACGGTTGGTGAACGCCGAACGGGGTAAACTGAACTAAACTGTACAAAAACTCAATTTCTGATGGATATTTCTTTAAAAATCCATCAGAACCCAGTTCTGCGGTAGTCAGGGGAAACGTCTGTCAACAGAAAAGCTCGACAGAGCTACGCATACACCATGCTACATCCTCGGAGCAATGGCACAGCTGACTCCAAAAGGCCGGAAGAGTTTTTCGATGGTCATAAAAAAACATCTCGTCCTGTGTGTTGTCATCTAACCGAACCGTCAATAAAGCCTGATTCATCCTGGTTGGCCAACCATAACCGTGTCCATAAATGATGTCAAAGCAGTGTGTGGTTCCGATAACATGACACTGTGTTTGACCTGCACCTGTTTGTCCGATTAACTTTGCTAGCAACAGTCCGCGAGGTCTACACCTCACGGAAAGACGGGAAAAAGAATCCACTAAATACAGCGACATTTGACTTTTTAAGCGTACCAACGAAACACTTTGTTGGTAAAGATATGCTGGAAGATGAATAAACAGCGCACACAACTTCGAAAAAAGGTTGACACTAACCGCCCCATAATGAATGGCTCGATCTGGTCTCGAGTACCCGTGAAGTAGAGAGACCAAAATGTTCGGGTTTGCCAACAGGTACTGAGCGCATGGGTTGTACGAGCCCACTTGACGTCGCATCACATGACCGAACAAATCAACCACATGTTTGGAACTCTGAAAGGGAAATCAGCTGATAGACATAGGGGTGTGGGACAAACCTCAAATTCAATTGCATCCAAGTTAGCAATTAATAGAGGAAGGACGTTCAAATTGATCAGTTCGTGCGTGATGTCAGTGATGATCTCATTGATTCGGGTTCTTTCCGAATTCGATAGATCGGCATCTCGTTCTCGACCAGTCAGTCGAGTGTCCGATTTATCGGTCAACAGTTCACGCAAGTTGTTCAGTGAGACTGCAATATTCTCGACCGCTTTCCGACGTTCCTTCTCGGGTTTCGATTGGCTGCTGCTCAGAATCTAAATTAGTGTGCAATCGATAGTCGGAAGGTCACGTACCAGTAAGTTTTCGTGTATGCTCTGAATCAACTCTTTTGGGCTTTTTGGTTTACCGAATAAAGGCATTCTTGGAATGTGAGTCGATAGTGAGCTGGAATGAAATAGAGGGGAGGTGAATGCAAAACACGCATCTTTCATGATAGAGAACAACTACGTCTCCTACAGCTTTGCGGGAAACAAGGCTGAGAACGGAGATCGACCTCTGACCATATCGGCAGACAAAGCGAAGAGTGCCGTTCAATCAATTCAGATTGGCCAACCGAGTGTTGATAGTGCGAATGAACCAGAATGGTTACAGTAGTTTAGCATTAGCCTCTTTCCTTGTCCGTTTGACAACAGGGCTTTGTTTTGAAAAATCATGATAGTTTGGCGAGAATCAAGCGCTGGTGTTTGAGGTGATATTACTAAGAGGGAGGATGAGAATCAGAATTAAAAGAAATATGAAAAAGGGCAAGAAAGAAAACCTTCCAACACACAAGTCATCAAAAAATGAGCAAAGGGACTTGGCCACCGGCATTCTCACATGGAGGTATGGTAGACAATCGTAGGTTAAAACACTGCCCCAACATTGGTATGCTTATCTTATCAAGATGAATACATATCTTGCAATGAAATCGACTTTTTAGACCACCAGTTGCCTTCCCGCTGTGCTACCTAACCGTAATTTTTAAGGTCACATCACAGCAAGTCATCAATCCCATATGGTGCAAAGCAAAAGAAAGTTACCAACGTTGTCAGGCATTAGAACCATTGTAGTGGACTGCTCCAAAAATCATACGAACCGGGCTCGTTACCTTCCAGGAAATTGACTGCCGAACTAAACAGGCGGACTTTGCATGCTGTGGTTCAATATTTATCACCCAGAACGCTACCATTTTGGTGTCCCCACCTCAAGGTCGTCTCTCTTGATCAACAGCCCGCTGGAACTTGCTGAACCAACGAATTAGCATCGGGGTTTGTACAACTTCATATGGTCTTCACGTTTAGCAATGCATGTGGTCACATTAAGCCTCAAGCCGGAACAATTTGGCCTATCACTAACGAGAAAGCCCAAATCGACCTGGGTTAATGGTAGGCCAGTTTTCGGTAAATCTGAAACTGCACGCTGTCCAGTCCCAAAGGTCAAGGATGAAAGCCAATACAGTATAATACAGGGGCAGAAAATAACTAAACTCTCTCGCATCGAAATGACCCACATCCATGATAATCGATAGGCAATCGTTCCGCTGTAACACTTTGTCAGTGCCTAGCTGCCATGCCACCCGAAGGAGGCACGAGGGCTGGGGTAGTGCCTAGAGAAGAGAAGTCGAGAGGCAGGGGTTGGGTTTGAACCACAGACCTTCCTGTCAGTAATTTTGCGCTCTAACCACTGAGACATCCATATCCATGCCCATACAATGAGTGGACTGTGTGGGCTTTTGATGAGTAGTGTATATTACAGAATATCGGTTGAAAGAAATCAAATGACTGCTGGAAAGAAAAACAATTCTGCCGAGATAACAAATGTCGACCATCCTTCCCGAAAATGGTTGAATTATAACCACGTACGGCAGTCACCTCCCGTAGAACAAACCAAAACCGAAGAAAGTATTTCGGACAAGAATCATACGATAAAAACCTTACGTCTTGAGGCGCAGCAGTACAGACGATACACAAAATTCACTGGAGAGGTAGCGTTCAGCTGTAGCACCATTGCGGTGCCTAGCTGACATGCCACCGAAAGGAAGCACGAGGGTTGGGATACTGCCAGGTTGCCCAAGCCTAGACAGGGGAAGTCGAGAGGCGGAGGTCGGATTCGAACCACGGACCTTCCGGTCAGTACATTCGCGCTCTAACCAATTAGGCCATCTCGCCAAACGACAGTCCCAAAGTATATAGCACAACTCAAACGGGATGCCTATAGGGAGTTCAAGCGCCTGGAGAGCACGCGACAACAGTTCCTATCATTCCTTACTTCCCCGAAGCAAAACAGTCACCATGTTGGGCTCAGCCCCATCTTAATGATGGTCTCATTGAGGCTTTACTCTATTAGAAGTCACATCACTCTCGCTTCAAGCATTTGTCTGTTTATGTTAAATGCGGTTTATCGACGCCACTGCTTTGGAGCTGATGCACCAGAACTATCGCCTTCAACGAAAAGCTTCCCGGTGTAACCTTCCTCCATACAACCCAAGTGATTCAACACCAAGTAGTTGATTATGTCATCACCTCCAGTGCCTCGTTCAACCTATTATGCCCTCATATTTCCTACCTACGGAAACTGTAGCAACTAGTGCCAAAGTGTGCTGGGTAGGTGGCTTACAGCTGACATACCGAACCTCAAAAATGTGGCACTCAAAAGGATGCCAACTCTATCCATTCTTACTTTCATGATTAACGGAGAAAATGAGACGAACGCTAAAAAACATGTTCTAATGGTTGTTTATAAGAGGCTTATCGGCTCGGGATATTCAGGTGAATTCGATGTATAGCTGTTTTCTTAACGAACCTATAGACTCACTCCGATTTTTGGCATGTGTATTGGCCCATAATGGGCAAGGTCATACCCCTGGACATGCAAGTACTGAATGTGCTAAATACAACCCAAGTTCCACCACTAGTCGTTGGTTTATTCTGAGCTGGGTAGTTCGATTGCAAACGTTTCACCACCAGTGCGTTGTTGCGTAGCGGATCGGAGCTTTACGACCCGTCACTATTAGGCTACAGTACAGGCTGTTGTGCCGTATGGTTGCGAGACTTGGTCTGTTCAGGCGGCGGAACTGAGACTTCTTGAGGTCTTCAACAATCATTATCTCAGAACCGTAGCTCTTGTGGGCTGGTGCAGGCGAATCCGTAACGAGACAATTAGAAAGCGAGTGTTCGGTTGTGCTGTTGGGGATATCAATATCCCTCCCCCCCCCAAAAAAAACTCTGTATTTTTATGTGTGCTAGCGAACTTCCGGCACCTTCAAGGTCAAACTATGAATATATATGCATTGTCATTTTTCCCATGATCACCTGTTGATCGCGTGTTGTTGGATCATTAAAGTTTGTGCCCGAGGTTTTTCGTCTTCTTACTATTCGCCTTGCTAGGAGTCTGGATCAAGCAACATAGCTGGGGATAGAGTATTGCCACAATCCGCATTATCCTATTTTTTGCCAGCGTGATCGAACCGTAACATGTGCAACGCGGACTTCCATTGAAGAATGTGTCCAGCATCAAAAGCTGTGTAGGTTAGGTCATGCATCGCACATGCTGAAAAGTGATGGTTCAAGTACCAAATTCAGAGTGGCGGAAGCAGACAGGTGGCCAACCCTTGTCCTGACGGAAAGATATTGCGAAACGTTTGGTGCTGCTCGCCTTCTGCGATAGGAACCGCATGATCCCCAGAGTCTGGTTGGAGATACTGCTAATCGGTGTCAGTGGCGTTCTTTTTGTCAGTTTCTATCCTGATTGTCTGAGTGAGTGTTTTGAGGTGCAGGAACCTCGGAATAATTGTAGCATCAAGTCCCTTCCCTGTCCACTCCTATTACTGTCTTCAAAATAAGGCTTTCAAATAGACCATAGCCAAACGGCAGTGAAGCATCAGTGTTGAACTTTGATGTTATGCTATCGATTATGATGATGATGATGACGATGATGATGATGATGAGGATGATGATCACAGCCCACCGATCGCATATCGCAAATTACGCTGGTTAGGCCAGGCACTTAGTGTGCTAGGGGACCATTTGCCTCGTGCAGTCGTCTTCACCTAGCCTTTTGTCCGACAGAGACGACATAGGGACGATCAGCCCAGAACTTGGCGGCGAAGTATGAAGATCCCTTGTAGTCAACTCAGTCGTGTTGGCAAATGATGCCTCCTTGCATATGGACCGCGGGACAAGCAAAACCAGTGGTTAGTAACCCTAACAGGTATGTCTGAGTCACGCAGCCAATCGTCGTACTGCATCAAAGCTATCGCCTTCAATGCGTAGTTCTCAATCCATATCAAACCGGAAAACCATTCGACGTCGGTAAACTGATTGGACAATCGTCTCCAACGCGTAGCTCTCGTTCTCTTATTCTCCTTATCCTCAGTGAACAAAATTCCAGAAGTTGGAACCCCTGCATTTCGACGCACGCTTTGTGAGCCAAAAGAGTAAATCGGCCTGAACTTACGGTTCACTATTCACCGATGTCGCTTGCCGCTGAAGCAAATGATTGCTACCCACTACCCGTTAATGGTAAATAAAATAACGGTGGTAAGTCCACAAGATCCTTTCCACATAGAGTCCATCAATGCCTGTACTCTGTGTAAAATAGGCAGTTTGACAAAGCCCATCCAGAAGTCGAGATAGCTCAGTGGTATAAGCACGAAATTACTAGTCGGAAGGTTCGTCGTTCCAACCCAACCCAAGCACCTTAACTGCTCCTGTCTAGGTTTGGGCTACTTGACAGTATCCCAGTCCCCGGATAGCATGGAAGCTAGGTACCGAAAGGGTGTTACAGCTGAACGATTTTCGATCACTCCTAGAACACGTCTGAGCACTCGAACATCGTCAGTATTCGCTGGTTGTTTACATGAAGGTCGATAAATTCGTATTTGACGGTTCCGAGACTCGCCAGCCTTCCTGATGCGATTTTGGCGAAATCGGCAGTTCCAAGCAGGTTTCAGTCATCATGGGATCGCCTTCAGGAATATCACTTTCCTGGCAGGCAACGTGAGAAAAGCCGAGGAGACGAACAGAACACTTCAGCTCACTACTCAACCATACCCCCTGTCACCAGCCATCAACCACGGACACTACAACCTCCATACCGTACACAATCAAATGCAACGTCCCTAGCCAATGTGAATTAACTGAGAGTCACACCACTAAAGAACAAAGATCATTACCACCTCATACAGTGTACAGTGGCTGTGGCTACCACAGTTTCGTTTGTCCACCAAATGGAAAAACATGGGCTGGGCAGCTACGCAATAGTGGTAGTTGATATCGTTGACGCGTGAATCAAGGAATGGAAGCGAAATTTTCACTGGAGAAATAGGGAGATAGCATTGGATGCATTCGTGCAAATGAGCGCGTTCACCAATATCTCTAAAAATTGATATGCTCTGATGCAGTGTTCTCATCCAGAGAGACGGTAATGAACGGCTCAGCTGGGTATGTTGGCAGAAATTCCTATAGTCGACTCCTAAAGGATATGACCAAGGAGATTCCTTCCAGCCAAAACTGAAACGAAGAAATCCTCTGTTTGTGCTGTTGCAAACAGTATAGTTGGGTTTTGCTACGACCCAGAATCCAATTCCACGTCCGAATCATGGTTCAGAAGATACGAAGACACTTTTCGGACGGAACTTGCAAATGCAGGCGATGGCTAGAAATCATGACTGTTGCTCGGGACAAGCGACTATGGCAAATTTATTAATTTTTTCTCCACAAATCAGCAAAAATACTTTCTTTTATGAACTTGTACAACTGTCGAGAGATATTTTTTGCGAACCGTCTTCTTTACTGAACGCCCGCTGCAACTGTTTGAAGCTGGTTACATCGGACAGTGACGACTGTCTTCCGTACGCGAGCGTAGTGAACCGTCCGTGTGAGATTCAAACTGAGGGAAATGACAGAGGATCAATTTAAATGTCTTACCTTTATTTGCGGGCTGAAGTCACCAAGATATCCGATATCCGAACTCGATTGCTAAGCAAGATTAAACAGGATCCATTAATGAACCTCCGAACGGTTACCACAGAGTGCCAAAGTTAGCTTAATCTCAAGCAGGATACAGCAATGAGAGAACGCAATAATCTATCTCGGTCTGGCCGTGTACACACCGTTACGAAGATTATTCAGAGGCCAGGTACGAAGAGCAGTCGGTGGAGCTCAGTAAGCCACCTACGCTCTGCTGGAGCACCAATGTCAGAAGTGCCACCAGAAAGGATACAAAGAGCAGTGTCAACATTATCATCAATGTCAGCTGCAATAACCACGTACTCGCCGTACAGTAGTTCTAGCTGCCACAGTTTCGTTCACCGATGATTTGGGAAGGGGGCAGGTAGCTGCGCATTGCAGGCGGGAGATGATAAATTGGTGCATAAATCCAGCGCTGTCAGTAGGGTGTCAAGTGGAGGAGTAGGAAGGGAGCTATGCGTTGAAGGCAATAGCCTGGATGCATGAGCGCCATTGGGCCATGTCTGATAATGTTTCTACCCTTTTCTCGGGGTCCACATCCGGGAAGACGGCAATGAGCAGCGCAGCTGAGTTTGCTAGTAATGGCTTTCATACTTCGCTCCCAAGTCATTGTTTGACCGCCTCTGGCTCTCTTCCACCCTTCACGTGGTTGTGCGAAAAGAGCTCTTCGAGGAATTCGGTCGACTGGCATACGCAGCACGTTGCCAAGCCACCTCAACCGATGCAGTGTGACCAGTTCATCTATCGAGGGTGAGTTATTTCTCCCGAATACCATTCGACGAAATTCAGCATTGCTGATCCGGTGTTCCCACCAGATTCGGGCAATGCTCCGAAGACATCGATGGTCAAACACTGAAAGTCTTTTGACATCCTCGGCCACAGGTGACGTAGGTTCGCAAAAGCTGCTCTAGCCTTCCCAATCTGGACGGAAATATCACCTTTCGCCAGACCA